CTCCTTGACACAGACTAACAGCATTAGCTGCTGTCAGGGCTCCAGATGGAAGGAACCAACCCTGGGGTGACACAAGAGCCACTTGGCTTCCCAAGCACCAACCACCCCGGGGGGGGGATTGTTGGAGAAGGAGGAAATTGGGTTGAGAGCAGAAAATTCCTCAGTGCAAGAAGAAGAAGGGGAGAGGGGAAGAAAAAGCCACGTTGGGCTGTTCCCCAACAGCTGGACACCTGGGGGAACAAAGCACCCCCACCACTTTGTCACCCTCTTTCTGCACAGAGGGGGGACACGTGGGGACACGGGGTGTCCCTCAAGTAAAGTGACAATGGGGAGGCTGATGGGCTTGTGTAAGGAACACCCTGCCAAGGGACACCCTGCCAAGGGACACCCTTCCAAGGGACACCTTTCCAAGAGACACCCTGCCAAGAATCACCCTGGCAAGAATCACCCAGCCAAGGGTCACCCTGCCAAGGGACACCCTGACAAGGGACACCTTTCCAAGAGACACCCTGCCAAGAATCACCCTGGCAAGAATCACCCAGCCAAGGGTCACCCTGCCAAGGGACCTGCTGCCAAGAGTCACCTTTCCAAGGGACACCCTTCCAAGGGACACCCTGCCAAGGGGACACCCTGCCAAGGGACACCCCTCCCTGCCCCCTAACCCTCCTTCTTCTCCCAGGGGTGCTTTGCAACCAGCATTTTTAACCCCTGCAAGGAGGGCTCAGGGCTGCAGCCACATCCCCAGGTGTCCTACACCTAAAGCAGGGCCAGGGCTGGTGGCAGGTGACACCTGCAGGTCCTGGTTTCCCTTCTGATTGTTCCTAGAGGGAAGCAGCAAGGAGATCCCCAGTCAGCACCGCAGGAAGCACCAGCTGCTCTGATTAGCCACAGGTTTAGGGAAGTTGCTTCGAGCAGGCAGGGACTTTCCAAGAGGCAGGAGGAGGATTTGGGAGCTGGGGATGCACAGGCAGCTCGAGCTGGGGCTGCACAGGAATTAAAGACTTATCCAAATGAAAGCAAAGAGGGTGTTAAGCGACACACATGTAGAGAGAGCTGTTTCCTTGGAAACCAGAGCACATGGAAGTGGCACACATGCAGCACCCCAGCATTTTCAGCAGCTCCAGGGTGGATTTGGGGCTCTGACCCACCAGGGGTGGAGCTGGAGCAAAACCCCATCCTGCTGGGAACGGACGGCACGGAAAATGTTCCCTTCCCCTTTGGAGGGAGTGGATGGTGGCCCAGCTTTCCTGACCCAACTGGCCTTGGGAATTCAATCCCAATGCTGAGGAACAAAGCCCAGGTGATGGGCAGAGCCCCAGTCAGGCTCCCAGCCCAGCTCCTGCTTCCCAGCACAGGGTGCGACGGGGTTGATTCTGAAAAGTCCGTTTGGATCCTGCCCAGCTCATCCTTCCCTCTGAGCTGCTCCTCATTCCCTGAGCAAAGGCTGTTGGTAGCATCCAACCCCTTGTCCTGCCAGGAAACAGGAGAGACTTCCAGGTGACCTGTTGTCACCCGTGTCCCTTCACAGCTGGGAACAGGGTCAGCACAGCAGGGACCTGCAGCAGAACAGCCCACGGCACTGACAGATTCAGGTGGGATCTGAGCCAAGCCCCAGCTTGGCATTGCCATGGCCAGTGGGACATCCCTGCAAAGGATCCCAGGGTGACCAGTGGCACAGGGTGACCAGTCTTGACCAGTCCCTGGCAAGAATAGATGGGATGCAGGGATGCAGAGATGGGATGCAGGGATGCATCCCAAGAACCTCCTCCCCTGGCGCGATGGCCGGGGCAGAGCTGAGTTTATACAACCCAGAACATCAAAATACACCCTGAGTAACCTGGCAGGAGCTTCTGGGTGGGCAGGGAGGTGGACAGGGTGCCCAGCAGCCTGGGAAACATCCCCTTGGCTCTCTGGGTGGTGGCTGGAGGGCTCCAGGTTGTGTCCTCCTGGTGAGGTGGAAGTGCCACAAGCACCAGCTGAGAGTCGAGACTCAGTCTGGGCTCTTCTCTTGGCTCATCCCCAGTCCTAAAAAGTTTCTATAACGGGCACAGAGTTAGCAATTCTGCTGCTGATGCTTTGCCAAAAAAGAAATTCTAGCTCCTTCTTCAGTGGCTGACAGCACAGGGGGGAGACAGGCAAAAAAAAAACCCCAACAACCCACCCCAACGTGTTTGCAGTCGCAGCCGAGTTGGTTGTTGTGGGTTTGGGGAAGAGCTGAGGAGCAGAAGAAGGTTTCACCACCTTCTTCTTAAACCTGCACCTCATCACTTTCCCTGCTCCTTTTCCCCCGGGGC